CGGGCCCGGCACGCTGCAGGCGGGAGACGCGGCGCGGGCCGCCATCGCCTTCAGCTTCTTCTCCATCCTCAGCTGGGTGAGTGCGGCCGGCGGGGGCCGGGCCGGGGCCGGGGTGGGGCGGGGTCGGTGCTGGCTGACCCCGGGCTCCCCCTCAGGTGGCGCTCACTGTGAAGGCCCTGCAGCGGTTCCGCCTGGGCACGGACATGTCGCTCTTTGCCACCGAACAGCAGGGCGCCGGGGCGGGTCAGGCCTACCCTGGCTACCCGGTGGGCAGCGGCGTGGAGGGCACCGAGACCTACCAGAGCCCTCCCTTCACCGAGACCCTGGACACCAGCCCCAAAGGGTACCAGGTGCCTGCCTACTAGTGGCCGGCAGGCCCCCACCGGGGCTGGAAGGCTGCCCCCAAGCCAGGGTCCAGGGTTTCCTGGGACCTCCCTCAGGTCCTCCTGGCCTAGTGCCAGGGACAGAGAGGGTGGCCATTGTGGGCCGTCTGGGGCCAAGAGAGGGTAGCTTCCAGGGTGCCTAGGCTGCCCCCTCACCCCAAGTTCCCCCTGTCCCCTTAGTCGCTGACCCCAGGCCTGAGGTCCTGAGGAGGGGACAGTGCAGCCCTGGACATGTATCCTCCAGCCTCTAGTGGATCAGCCTGCGAGCGGGTCATTCCTCTCATGAGCCAGCTAGCCTGTGGCTCACCTGTCCACTCTGGGGTCAGGGGTCTAGCTGCCCTCCGTAGCTAGGTGCAGGGGCTGTCCCCAGGAGCATGGGCACTGCTCCCATCCCATGTCCCTAGGGGTAGTGACAGTCCCTGCTTCAGAGTTGTGGTGGTTCACCCTGTGGGGCTGTGTGCACACTGTCTGGAGCCTCCATCCGTTTGCTTTCACGGGCTCGCTAGAGTAGCCTGGTCCTGTTGATGTTGTGATTGTGGTCAAGTCTTTGGGCTTCACCTCATAGTTCCCTGCAAGCAGCCCCACTGTCTGTGGTCCCTGCTCCTGCCCCTACCTGCCTTGGCCCAGGAGGCTGCCCGGATGTGGGCACTTTGGGCTAGGAAGGCACAACATGGCTGTAGGCCTGGGCACCAGCCCTCTCCCACCCCTTCAGTAAGACCTTGCCCGAGGGAGGCTTGGGGCACCTGGATGCCTGGCAAGACAGGCAGGCCCCTCACAAGGAGGGAGGCCTAGAGGCTCCATGTGCCCACAGTGCCCTGGACACGGCCCATCTGTGCAAACCCCTTTACCCTCTGCTTCCCAGACCAGCCCCTCAGCAACCTGCCCTGCACCCCGTTTTACAGCACAGCCTGAGGTTGGGGTCCCTCTGCGTGGCTGACTACTCATGCATCACTCAAAGTTATATCGATACAAACGCGGTTGCCGGGCTCCATTCCCACAGAGAGGCACCTCCTTCTGGAGTTGCAGTTGGGCGACTACCCTGTACATTGTAGCATAGACCAATTCTGTGTGGGTATTTAAGTGAACATGTTTACAGTTTTTGTATATATGGATCTTTCTCTCCTTCTTCTGAAAGAACACTCCGTGACTGTGTATCTTCAATGTCCCATGTTTCAACTGCAACTTCTTTACAATAAAAGACTGTAAGTGAGTTTACCTGGCCCCGAGGCTGGCCGAGTCATTTCTACCCCTGCCGCTGTGGGTGCCCGAGGGGCCCAGAACCCAGGAAGGGGCAGCAGGTGGTGGCCAGGCTGATGTCCACATTCTGGGGGTCCCTGAGGCCCCCACTGCACATCCCGCTGGGCTGCCCCTGGGTTGCTCAGAGCCAACTCTTGGAAATGCTGGGGAGATGCCCACCTCTTCTCCTTTTTAGAACAGCAGGACTAGGAATTATTTCTTGTCGCCGCACATCTTTAGCAGTTCCTTCATCAGTCTATGGATGTGAACTTCTTTCGTGTTACTATCACGTTCTCCAGGGATCGTTTTACTGGGAATATAAATGTGAAGTCTTGCTCCTTAGAACTTTGAAGTTATTTCTGTATTCTCCTTTAGGATCCTATACTGTTGACGAGGGCAGCGATGACAGTATGATTCGTATTCTTTAGCGGGTTATCTGTTTTTTCCCTTGGGAAAACTTAACTGCGATTTTTTTCCAAGTTGTGTTGTGTCGAGATGTGGCTTTTTAAAGAATTATCCTTGGGGCGCCTGGGTGGCTCAGATGGTTGAGCGTCTGCCTTTGGCTCAGGTCATGATCCCAGCGTCCTAGGATCGAGCCCCACATCGGGCTCCCTGCTTGGCGGGGGGCCTGTTTCTCCCTCTCCCTCTAACGTTCCCCCTGCTTGTGCTTTCTTGCCCTCTCTGTCAAATAAATAAATAAAATCTTAAAAAAAAATAATTATCCTTGTTAGTGCTTATTTTTAAGATTTTATTTATTTGACAGAGAGAGAGAGCACGAGCAAGGGGGAGCAGCAGAGGGAGAGGGAGAAGCAGGCTCCTGGCTGAGCAGGGAGCCCAATGTGGGACTCGATCCCGGGACTCCAGGATCATGACCTCAGCTGAAGGCATACGTGTAACCGACTGAGCCACCCAGGGGTCCCGTTTTTTTTTTTAAAAACAACCATTTACTTTTATTTTTTTTTTAAAGATTTTATGTATTTGAGAGAGAATGAGAGAGAGAGGGAGTGGGTCAGAGGGAGCAGCAGACCCCCCGCTGAGCAGGGAGCCCGATGCGGCACTGGATCCCAGGACTCCAGGATCATGACCTGAGCCGAAGGCAGTTGCTTAACCAACTGAGCCACCCAGGCGCCACTACTTTTAAGTAATCGCCACACCCAACGTGGGGATTGAACTTACGACCCTGAGATCGAGCGTCCCATGCTCCTCCGACAGAGCCAGCCAGGCGCCCAGTGCTTGTTTAGTTTTCTGTTTTCCTTCACCGCACGGAAAAGCAGTCATTATGTCTCTACGTCACCTTCTGTTCCTGGGACCCCCCCTCAGGTGCTGCAGGCAGCTTCCAGAGCCACATTCCCCGGCTAGCTAACTCAGCCTCTGGAGATCTCCCCAGCTTGGTCCTGTTTGCTTCTGAACCCATCCACTGGGATTTTTAGCTCAGTTACTTGTTCACATCCAACTATTTAATAATGTCCCAGCTGAGGGCAGCGGGGCTGAGAACCGTCCCTGGTGCTGGAGGGCTGGCTCTGCCACATCCAAGCAGGCAGGGCTCTCTCGGGCAAGTGTCTTGTCGGTGCCCCGGGCTCCCCTTCCGAAAGAATGGTTGTGGCCGTGGGGGCGGGCTGCGGGGGCAGGCCAACACAGGGGCAGAGCCCGGCGCAGGGCTTGGCGCACAGCCAGCACTTCAGTGCTGCCATGTGTTAGCGTGGTTCTTGCTTTGTTAAGAGCTTGTTTTCGGGGCGCCTGGGTGGCTCAGTTGTTAAGTGTCTGCCTTTGGCTCAGGTCATGATCCCAGGGTCCTGGGATCGAGCCCCACATCGGGAACCCTGCTCGGTGGGAATCCTGCTTCTCCCTCTCCCACTCCCCCTGCTTATGTTCCTGCTCTCACTGTCTCTCTGTCAAATAAATAAATAAAATCTTAAAAAAAAAAAAAAAAGCTTGTTTTCAACGTCAACGAGATCCCCCATTTTCCAGATTACTCTTCTGTCGGGCTGGTCGTCCTCAGGTCTGCAAAGGGGGCATCAGCTGTGAGGGGCTACCGGCTGTCTGGGGAAGGCCGGTGACCTCTACACAGCCCATTGGTGGTTAAAGAGTCTGAAGGCTCTTGTCTGCGCTGGGCCCCAAGTGCCGGCCAAGCCCGCAGCGTCAGGCAGGCAGCACCGGCGTGGCCATGCGCCTCCCGCCCTCATCATCCTGGGTACCCCCATCCCCACTTCCAAAGACGTTTCTTCTCACATGAGGACATTTCCTTTGCCTGATTTGGATGTGGCTATGTGTTTAGAACTGTCTTCTACTATTTACGTGTGTTTAGGGCAGAAAGAAGCAATTTCTCGATCTGGTCCCCTCCTGAGATACTGTATCCAAATAATTAAGCACAAATTATTCTCTGGCAGAATTTCACATGTGCCCTCCACTGCTTCTGAAACGCTCTTGTTTATCGTTAGGAGCTCTTTACTAGCCTGTGGGTGCGAACCTGGAGTCTATAGACTCCCACGTCCTGGAAGGATGGTTTTACTTGGCACACAAGCACAGGTCAAGTGTGGCTGTGTCTGTTCCTGGAAGGCCTCGGCAGCGCCAGATGTCCAGGGCCGGGCCCCGGGCCCAGACCGGCGGCTGCGTCCCGAGAGCAAAGCCCCGCTACCCAGCTGTGCATACAGGTCGCCCCCCATCCCAGCTGACCCCTGGCTGTCCACCGGAGCTGGGGCCTCGGACGGCTCTGAGCCCCCCTCGCTGCAGGTGATCTGGGAGGGCAGAGAAGCTCAGAACACCAGCTATGTGCATTATTGCAAAATAAATTTATTTGAAGATACACGGTCTTATAAAAGGTCAGAGTCAATTTGAGATCCCAGATTCTGCTTGTCTCATACAAAGATTCAACTTCAAGTAGCACAATTTCGTGTCTGCTTTTAATCCTGAACGTTCTTGAATCACGAAATAGCCGACTGTTTACACAACACGCTCAACATCTGACTCCGGCCCCGGTGGCCCCGCAGCTTCTGGCTCGGGGGGCAGCGGCGCTGTAGCCCTCGGGCTCAGGGGGCCTGGAGGGGGCCCGCTGTTGCCACCAGCTCTGACAGCATGGACAGGTTCCTGCGTCCCAGCCCTCCCCTCCCCTCGTACCTTCCAAAAGCAGGAAAACACAAACCCAGACCAGCCCAGCACGGAGGCAGGGGTCTTTGCACACCTCCCAGGAGGAAACTGGATGGACTCCTACGTGATGGTGTGCGGACAGGGCAGGTGGGCCTTCCTGGTGACCCCAGGCGGGCTGGCCGGCGGAGGGGCCTGAGCAGCGGCCTCAGCAGGGCCTTACCTGGCTGCAGGGCAGCCGGGAAGGAGGGAGGAGGAAGGAGGCTTATGGGTGTGGCAGCTCCTGCCCATGCTGGGGGGCTACGTGAGGATCCTGGCGATGGCTTGCAGGGACGGGAAGTCGTTGTCCTGGGCGGCGTGCAGTGCCTGGTGGCCACTGACGTCACCGTGCGCAAGCACCTGCTGGCAGGTGGGGCACACGCAGCAGTCCAGGCCCGCTGGCCGGGTGCTGGCCTGCCACGCGCTCTTCCTGTTCTTCTTGGCCTTGGTGCCAGGAGGCCTCTCCCGGCCCCGGAAGTGCGTGTGTGCGGACAGCAGCTCCTGCTGCTTGGCCGTGTCGGGCAGGAGCACCAGCAGCTCGTTGAAAATCTTCTGGAAGTTCTCCCCGAGCAGGTCGCGGCAGCTCTTGTAATACTGGGCTGCGGAGATCACGCCCTGCCACCCAGAGCCAAACCCAGTCATGCCCAGCCCGGGCCTGAGCCCCCACAGTGGCCGTGCTGGCCCCCCACACCCCTGCCTGGCTGACCTGTCTGAACTCCCCCGAGTGGCTCTTGAACTTGCCGAAGCGGGCCTCGTCACTCTGCAGGAAGTCCTTGATGGACTGGATGAGCTGAAGGTTCCTCTCCCGGAAGTTCTCGGGCACCAGGTAGGCCTGTGGTGCAGGTGTCAGTCTGGGCCTGAGGGTCGGAGACGGGCAAGAGGTCGCGGCTTAAGCCTTTGGGGTGGACCAAGGTGAGGGCACTCCCCGGCCTCTAGGGGCACGAAGCCAGGCGACCCACCCCCACTTACGCTTTTGTGGCGGTGGCAGTGCTGGGGACACAGGCTGGGTGGGGGTTGGGCAGGAGGCCCGAGAAGCCGGGGGGTGGCTTGCTGACGGGTGGCACCAGGCCAGGCGGAGGCGGGGGTGCGGTGCCCTTCAGGAGCACCACAGCGTTGAAGCCTGCATGGGGCGGCACAGCAAGACCCGAACGTGACCCCTGCTTCCCACATGCTGCTGTGGCTTCCCCTGCCGCCCAGCCCCCCGAGGTCGGGCTCCATCCAGCAGGCCCAGGGCCCGATGACGCACACGCTGAGCTCCCTCGTGGCAATACTGGCCTAGGGCGACTTACTCCCCCATCTCCAGAGAGCGCTAGGATGGCCCCCTTTTACAGGGAGGCAAGGGACGTGGAGAGTAAATGCCCTGCTCACAGTCAGCGGTGCCACGAGGCTTCCCTCCCCCTGCCTGCTGGCCTGTGACTGCCCCTCAGTGTGTGCTCCCCTCGACCCTGGGGCTCCAGTCTGACTCTCCTACCCCGGCCCCCTCCCAGATGCCCAGAAGCGGGCCGGAGCCAGACACACATACCTGGGGGAGGGGGCATCCTGGGTGGGCAGGGGACTCCGAGTGCTGGGAAGTCTTCTTGGGGTGTGGGGCAGGTGGGGGGCCCCAGGGGCCGCGGGAGCCCAGGAGGTTCCTTGGGCGTGCTCCGAGCCAGGGCCGGCCCCTCTGTGTGTCCATTGACGATGAGGGCAACGGGCCCCTCGGCTCTGCCGGCGGTCACGGTGGGGGCCTGCTCGGCCCCAGGGGGCCCATCTTTGTCAGGGGGCTGTGGGGGCGGTGAGGCAGCAGCCAGCTTCTCCGAGCCCACCTTCTTCTTCTTGCCGACCTTGGGGAGGGTCTGGGTGGAGGCCAGCGCCAGCAGGGAGGAGACGGCTACCGTGGTGGGCACGCTCCGTAGCTCCTGGGCAGTGAGGCCGGCATGGCCGGCCTCCTCCTCCTCCTCCTCCTCCGACGGTGGTGGCGCGCCCTTCTTGCTGCCCTTGCCTGCCTTGCCAGCCTTCCTGGGGGGCTGGCCGCTCCCGCCAGCAGCCTGGGCCCCCGAGGTGGGATGAGCCACCTTCTTGCTGCCGCTGCTATTCCAGGCGGAAATGAGGCTGGTGGGGGCAGCGCTGGGCTTGGAGGCGGAGGACACCAGGGCGGGGAAGTCATCCTCCTGGAAGGTGCTCCTGCCCCGGGCAGGGACGGGGTACGCCAGTGCCAGCCCCACGGGGCCCAGAGCTGCCGCAGCAGAGCACGAGGCAGAGGAGGACGCAGAGGCGCACAGGCTGGGGAAGTCTTCATCCTTGAGCTTCGAAGTGGGAGGTGGGAGGGTGCTAAGCCCAGGGAGGGGAGTGGCGTCAGTGGCCTGAGGGCCCTAGCCCGCCCCCCGCCCCCCGCACCCACCCTCCACAGGGGGCCCCCCGACAAGCTGCGCACGAGTGTACCTTGGAGGCGTGGCCCCTGTGGCCGGGCCGGTTGCCGGGAGGCCCTCCGGGCTTACAGGACCATTGGGCGAGGCTTCCTTGAGGCCTAGGAGACACGAAAGGACCCTATGTCAGGGCTGAGCAATGTGCAGGGGGCGGGAGCAGACCCTCCAGGGTGAGCTCAGGGCTCTGCCCTGTCACTCCCAAGCACCGTGCTGGCCAGGAGCCTGCCTCTCCCCTCCCAGGTGCCCGCCGGCACAGCCAGCTCACCTGCTCCCTCGCCCTGAGTCCGGGGCAGGCGCCGGGGGCCGCGGAGCTCCTCGAGCATCCGCAGCCCTGCCTCCTCCTTCTTGGCCCTGCCGCCCTCCTCCCGGTCCTCACTCCTGCGTGTCTCTTGCTGCAGCTGCGGCACGGCCACCGAGGCCCGGATGGCAGCTGCCACTTCCCGGTCCTCTTCTTCCCTGGGAGGGGGAGGCCTTCAGGCAGGGCAAGGCCAGGAACCACGGCGGCATGCAGGGCGAGGAGCTGGGCAGGAGCCTCCCCACCCCACCCCCCCAAGCCTGGCCACCAGGAGCTGTCCCAGGGCCAGCGGAGCCGGTGCCCGCCCGCCCTCGCTGGCCAGGAGAGGGCGCTGCCGACTCAGCGGGACTCCTGAGCCAGCGGGTCTCAGGCTGGGGATCCCCAGGGCAGCACGTGGGCCCATCCGGGGTCCAAGATGCCTCTATCCTGCCGGACAGTGGGGACAGCACCTGGCCTGAGCATGTGCCTGCAGCGTGAGCGTTTCACGGCACGCCTGCTCTGAACCCGCCCCCCCCCAAGTGACACAGGCCCCTCTGGCCCACCCCCACCTGCAGGGTCCTGGTGCCTCTGGCTAGAACTAGGGAAAAGAGTAGGGAAATGTCTGCTCACTCAGGACACTAAGCAGGCCCCGCTGCCACCAAGCCAAGGACACCAGACACCAGAAGGCCAAAGTCCCCCGATCCCCGTGCGCCGTCCCAACCCAGCTGCCAGCCACCGCCGCCTCAGGGGTAGCACCAGGAGAATGTCAGCGGCACGCAAATCCTCCCACCTCTTGTACCTCCAGCTTCCTCGACGGCTCTGCTGGGCTCCGCGACCACTGGCCCGGCCGGCACGGCCCTGACGGTTGTACCTGTCCACCTCCTCGTAGTCCTCACCCCCGACGACCCCTGCGGCCAGCACACAGCCCGTCAAGGGCCTGGGCCAGCCGTAGGCCGGTGCTCCAGCTTGCCCAGCAGAGACTTCCTCCCGCCCCCAGCACATGAGCCCCGAGGACCAGCTCAGAGCAAGAAGTGGGCAGGGAGAAGAGCCTGCCTCAGCCACGACCCCCACACAGCAGCTCCCCCAACAGTGCTCCCAACCCGGGAGCCCCCCGGCCCCCAGCCGGCAGATGGGAGACACACGACGGGCCAGACTGGGGCCCGGCTGTGGGGTTTCCAGGCCTCGGGGTGACCGTGGGCTCAGAGAGGTATGTCCCCTGTCCCACCAACACATGACGGGCCAGACCGGGGCTCGGCTGTGGGGTTTCCAGGCCTCAGAGAGTGCCAGGCTGGAGCCCGATGGAGCCCCGCTCACTCACCCTCACTGCGGCGCGAGTGCCGGGGTGCATAGCTGAACTGCAGGTCAATCTGGCGGTTCTGGCGGGCCTCGGCGCGGCTCCGGCTATGGCAGGCTGTCCTGTGGGCCTTGAGGTCGATCTCGGTGCGGAAGGCGTGGGTGAACTGCTCCGTGCTGCAGCGGCCCTCCTCACACAGGAAGTGCTTCTCCCGGAAGTGCTCGCGCAGGTAGGCGTAGTCGCTGGCGGGGCCAGGGTGTCAGCAGGAGCCTGCGGGCCCCGCCACCCCGGCCAGCGGCCCCGCCCAGCCTGCTCTGGTGCCCGGGGCCCGCGCCCACCTGTAGTAGTCCTGGGCTCCATCGGAGTCACAAAAGTGGCAGAAGTAGTGGTCGCGGCGCAGGTGTTTGAGCAGCTCATCATTGTCCAAGTAGCGCTCATCACAGAACTTGCAGAGCGGGTGCCCACGGTGTGACGTGTCATCGGGGTCCCCCTGCATGCGGTGCCGCGCCAGGTCCTTGCGCGAGTACCATTTGCGCTCGTAGGTGAAGATCTGCAGGGTAGAGGGTGCTGGGCGCAGGCAGGCCCCTTCCCACGGCCCCGCAACAGAGGGCTGCCTCGGTCCCCCCGGCCATCCACACACAGCACCGTACGCACCAGGAGCATCCCCCTGCCTGGGCTGGGTGAGACAGAAGAGCTAGGGGGACGAGGGGCCTGAGGCAGCACGAGCCCCCCGGGGCCCAGCCCCCAACCGCCTGCACCCAGCTCTCCCGGGGCCCCCGGGCGGGCTCCGTGGCCCAGGGCACACCTTGAGGTGCTTGAGGCACAGCTTGCAGCAGAAGAGTTCGTGCTGCTTCCGCATGTGCTGCTCCAGGTCCCCGAAGAGGCCGAATGGCGGCAGCTCAGGGCACTGCGGGCACTCGTGCTGAAGCAGCTGCCTGGAGAGACACCGAGGGCCCCCCCAACCCCATAGGCACTCAGTGTCACCGTCTGGAGCGAGCTCCTGCATGCGCCACCCGCGGAGGCAGTGCTGCTCCTGGCCAGGATGGCTAAGCTCCGTGTCAGCGGGGCGCAAACACTGGGCCCACACCGGGGGCCACCCCCTCACCTGGAAGAGGAGGATCACTCCCGAGACAACCGTACCCTTTTATGGGGTTTTCCTGCTACGGACTAAGAGCCCAACTCCCAGAAGCTCGAGTGCACCTCACAGAGTCCCAGAAAGTAGGCACTGTGTACTCCACCAGAGTGTTTCCCCTGAATGTGCTGCCCCTGTCCCCACTGCCACCCCAGGGGGCTGCTATGAGCATCCCTGTTACAGGAGAGGAAACGGAGCACAAGCCCTGACATCTGCGCCCCAGGGCTGTGAGGAGCACAGGAGGGCTCAGGGATGTGCCCATCCCCAGTGCAGGGCTGGCCACAGGCCCTCGGAATCCCAGGCTGAGGATCTCTCTCACCTGTACAAGGCAAAAACTTTTCCATCGGCGAAGTAGATGTCATATTTTTTCTCGTGCTGCAGCTGGTGGAGGGGGATTGTGGCAAAGGCAGGAAGCTTCTTCCCGAAGACCACCTGGAACCAAGTGAGGGGGGCTGCTGAGCAGGGCCGTGGGCACCCAGTAGAGGACACCATCAGGCTGAGAAGAGGGAGGCACTCAGACCCTGCTGAGGAGGCCGAGGCCGGCCCCGCAGGCAGCACTCTCTGCCATCCTGGGCTGCCCAGGCCCCTCTCCTCACCTGCAGCCCGGGGGGCCTGGGGTGACCCATGTGGAAACACAACGCCCGGCCTCGCCACCAGGGGGCGGCAGGCTCCCCACTCATCCAGGGAGGTCACCCCAGAGGAACAGGGGTCAGCAGTGACCCCCCCGGGGCAGCGACAGGGAAAACACATGGGTGTTGAGCACAGGGCAGAGAAGGTAGAAATGACATCCAAGAAGCAGCTATGGAAACAATGCCACCAGGACAAGCCAGATGACCACATGTCACGCTTGGCCACCCTCTGTCCACCCACGATGCCATAGGAGAGGGATTTCCTCGCAGGCCTCGGTCATGGCCCCTGGCTGCCTCCTGCCTATTAACCAGCTGCCAGGGGTGCCAACGTGCCGAGCTGGGGTGCGGGGGGGGGCCTGGGTGCAGACACCTGTGCCGCCTGGCTGTTTCCCAGGGGGTCTCCGGCACACTCAGGTACAGCCTGCCAGGCTGCCCCTCCACAGACCCCCATCGCAGCGCTCCCAGGATCCTCTCACAGGCTCAGGTCCCCCCTCTGCGCCAAGAGCACAGCTCCCTCCAGGGCTCCCTCCTCTCCGGCCCCCACTCCCCATCCCTGGACCAAGGCCACACCTTCAGTCTCCTCCTCTCCACGACCCATCCCACTCCACTACTGTCCCCCACAGTCTAGGCCTGGTCACTCGCCTCTGCTCAGGGTCCTCACCTTGGGAAGGGTCATGTCAAGGTCATCCCTGCTCTGTTTAGGCTCAGCTAGGCTCAGCCAGGGAGGACGTCTGGGATCACAATGGCCAGGCACTTGGGAAAGCAGGGGACTGGCTGGGGAGAATGGTGCTCACACTGTCCCCAGCAGCAGGATGGTTAAGACTGGTTCCCTGGGGGCCTGGGGGAGAAGCTAGGGAGCTCAGTCTCCACTTCTCTACTGTCAGGAGAGCGTGCTGACCCCCAAGCCTCCCCCTGCCCCCCACAGCCCAAGGGAGGCATCATGGTCCAGCCACACCCATTCCGGGGGAAGGCAGAGGATGAGCAATGCCCCAGCAGGCCTTTCTTCCCCTTGTCATCCTGTCTGGTGAAGTGGCTGCCCGCTCCCGCCCCTGCCCCATGTGGATTTCGGGTGGGTGCTTCACTGCAGCTAAGCTCCCATGGCTGCCCCCCCCCGCCCTCCCCCCCGGTTCCCTTACTAGGCCCCTGGGCCTCACACTGGCCTCTTCCCACAGTTCCTGTCCTTCCAGGACAAGGCCACACCCAGCCCTGCCCCACGCCACTCACAAGGGCGCCTTCCCAGCCCTGACCCCAGTTCCTCCTGCCTCTTGCCAGGGGACCAGCACCTGCACGCGCAGGGCCACGAGCCGGCCACAGATCACAGGGTCTGTTGTGGGATCAGCTGCCGGGACTCAGGGCCCTGCTTACACCAAAGCAACACGGGCAGCAGGGGCAGCGTCCTCCCGTGAGAGAGCCCCCTGCCGAAAAGTCCAGCAACTCAGCAGAGGAACAACTTCTTCCCCAGAGGAAGCCTGTGCCGTGATGCCACTGTCAACCACCGTCTCCTCCAGCTCCAGCGCCTGGGTCTCAGGGTCTGCTTGGATCCACTGTGGGGCAGGGGGTGTCTTACTGCCGGCACCCTCGCTGTGGACAGAGGCAGGGTGCCGTTCTCAGGGGCGTCTGTCTCTCCTGAGCAGTTTGATGGGGCAGCCAATGCTGGGCACACCTGAGCCAAGCCAGGAGAGAGAGGACACTGGGAACCTCAGGACAGGAAGAGGATGAGGAAGGGGAAGGCTGCATTTGTCTGAGAACGAGGGTGAACAGGTTTGGAGCTAGGGGTGGGAATGGCAAAATGCTAAGGGCCCCTCCTAGACAGGCTGTAAAACCAGGACTGGGCCCCTGAAGGCCTGCGCCGGCATCAGCACCAGTGATGAGTACACAAGAGGGCAGCAGTGTGGCCTGGTATGGCCCAGCAGAGGGTGAGGCGCATGGCGAGACCAAGTCGCTGAACAAGGACCAGGGCATGGGTGCCCAACCAGGGATGGGAAGGAACCCACCAGGGATCCAACGAGCATGGCCCAAGACCCACCCACCCTGGTGATTGCCCCGATGAGAGAGGGTCATGGATCCGAGGACAGAGGCACAGGCCAGGCCTAGACACTTGAGGATGGACCATCTTGGGAAACCCCTGGGTCGGCCAGGCAATCGATGTCAAAGGGGGAAAGGACACCCCTGGGTGGGCCCCAGGATGGCTGGGCCAGTCCCTGAAGAGAGGGAGAGGGAGATGGGATGAGGGCTCTACTCAGACCCCCACAGGGGTGGGTGTGTGTTCCTGCCTGGGGCTTTGTTGCTCCCCACTCCCAGTATCCAGTGGGCATTCGATGAGTGGAAGAGAGGATACGTGGTGCCAGCAGAGACCCCTGGCGAGAGTGAACCAATGGTGAGGGTGAGCAGTGAGGGCCCCACCTAGGAAGTACAGGCCCCAGAGGAGCCCAGGTGAACCAGGCTGGTGGGGAGGGGCCCTGACACCAGACAAGCAAGGGCAGTCAGCAGGCCCCACCTCCTGACCTGCCATCAGCCTCCTTCCCACGTCTTGCCTGTGAAGTGGAAGGGAGGCCGTACTAGCTCAGACACACCCCACTTTGTACAGCAGCCCCATCCAGCCTCTTTGACAGAGATGGGCTGGAAAAAAAAAAAAGAAGAAGAAAATGGACCGTGTGAAAGGTGAGACCAGGGAGGAAGGTGGGGGGCGCTGATGTTGGTCTTGACTGGGAGCCGGCCTGGCCTCCACCCGGAGCACCTGCTGGGCAATCTAGCTGGATCTGGCTCCGTGCCTGACCAGCAGCTGCAGGGCTGCTCTGCGTCTGCTCTTTGCAATGCCTGCCCCACAGCGGGCACAGGGAAGCCCCGAGCCAAGGTGTGCGCCTGTTCCGCACAGCTTCTTGGCATGCTTTCCTCAGGGTTTTTACAGACCGAGTCCCATAAGGGAGGACAGAGCAGAGGCAGCCCCTGGAGGTAGCTGTGGGATTCCCGAGTGGGCATGGCACATTCAGAAGACAGTGCAGGACTCAGCCAGGGAACAGGAAGAGCTAGGGTGGAGCTGCAAGTTCAAGAGTGGGAGGCAAGCAAGATGAATCGAAAGGATCGTCATCTCCCAAAGTTCCCAGGACACCATCCTGCTGCCCAGTAATTCAGGGCAGGCCTAAGAGGAACGCCAGAATCGGCCAGAGGCACCCAGTGCCAAAGCATGCTCCAGTGGGAGCCTGCTGAAAGCTCGCGTCAAGAGCCGCTTGCCACAGAGAGCACTGGAAGGGTATGGGACCCACAGGGAGCAAGAGAGGCCACGTACTGGCCACAGTAACCACACAGAGGTGTCTGCTCACTTCCAGAGTGAGACCTGCAGCCCCTGCCTTCCTGGAAGGAACTATAGGTGCACTGGAAAACCTGGCCCTTCAAGAGTGACCTCATGCAGGGGCGCCTGGGTGGCTCAGTTGGTTAAGCGACTGCCTTCGGCTCAGGTCATGATCCCGGAGTTCTGGGATCGAGTCCCACGTCAGGCTCCCGGCTCAGCGGGGAGCCTGCTTCTCCCTCTGACCTTCTTCCCTCTCATGCTGTTTCTCTCTCTCAAATAAATAAATAAAAATCTTTAAAAAAAAAAAAAAGAGTGACCTCATGCCATGCAAGACTGGCTGGCATGGCAGCCTCGGGCAGAGCTGGGAGGCGCTCACTAAGCCACAGGCCTAAGGATTTCCCGACAATTTGGGCACCCCAGATCTCTCCCAGGCCCGTCTCTGTCCACCCCAGTACACACTAATAGCGTCTCCAAGTGTCTTTTTTGAAAAGAGCACAGAATAGGTGCTCATGAAGAGCTCACGGAATTACAGCATCGTCTTGGCTCCCCTAACATAAATGTCTACCTGAAAAAAAAAAAGGAAACACAACTAAAGAAACCCACTCCTCAACAATGCCATTTCTGCGTCACTTCTAGGAAGAAGAAAGTCAGATTCCCTGGCAGATGTCACCAGCCCAAGCTTTCCATGAACAAACCAGAGGAATTTCACAACACTGGAAGCAAACGTATCTCAAAGCAAACCAAGAGAGTTCCAACTAGGTGCTTCCAGCCAGCATCTGGCATTATGGGGACGATGGGGGAAATCTCCACGGTGCCCTCTGATCCCCTCCAGGGCTTCCAAATCTGGACAGAGTCAGAAACATCCCCACCTCCACTCTGGAGCTGACCCCCTCACCACCACCCCCCGTTAGAATTGGCAAGGAGGAGAAAAACTTCGTAACACTTTTAACCCCATCCGCCTACAATCCTAAGGAAACCTCAATGGTTCAGCCTCCCGCCTCTGGTGGGCAGGTGTGAGTGCCACCGCCCCTCAACAGATGAAAGCACCAGTCTCGGGAGGACCTTGCCGGGGTTACCCAGAGGGGCCCAGACACATAGCTGGGCTGGAAATACCCACTTTGACCCTCTGCTTCCCGGACTGCCATAATCGTCCCCATAGGGACTGCTCCCTCTTCGACCCAGCGGGGCCAGCTCCTGCCTGCCGGCCCCAGAAGCCCCACAGTCGGCCTCACGGTCGGGAGCCCGCCCCAGGGGGCCCCGCCAGGCCCGCGGCCGGACATCAGGAAGGCAAAGTCCCCTTCCGGCCGCGCCCCGCGCCCGCCCGGCGCCCCGAACGCGCGGCCCGGCCGGCGCGGCGCACCTGGCGCAGCTCCTCGCGGCACACGGCGCAGTAACGCTGCTCGCACAGCACCCGCATCTTGGTGGAACAGCGGTAGCACACCGGGTGGTCGCAGCGGCCCAGCGCCGTAGCCTCCAGGTCTCCGCAGCACAGCACGCAGCTCCCGCCGCCCCGCTCGGGCACCGCCGCCGCCTCCAGGGCCGCGCGCCGCCCCTCGGAGCCCGCCGCCACCGTCACCGCCGCCGCCGCCGCCGCCATGGTCAGTGCTGCGGCCCCCTCCGGCCGGCGCGGCGCGGCGCGGCGCGGCCTGGCTCCCGGCGGGCCCGCCCCTTCCGGGCGACGTCAGCGCCCTGCCCAGTAACGGCCCCGCCCGGCGGAAGCGCGAGCCGCGACTTCCGCCCCAGCAAGGCGCGGGAGGCCGGAGGCGCGGGCGGGACTGCGGGATGGCGCTGGGTCGGGGGCGGCCTCGGGGCCGGGGCGGGACCGCGAGAGGGGGCTCGGAGCCCGGGCTGGGAACTGGGGGCCCGGGCGGGACCGCGGGCTGGGGGCAGGGGGTGCGGTCCGCAGCGCGGCCCCCCTCCGCTGCCTCTGCCGGGCTGCCCGCCAGGTGAGACGCCGCGCCGCCAGGTAGCTTGGAATTTCAGAGCAACCACGGACGGCCCTCATTGTGGTTCCGGTGAGTACGCCCCTGTTGCGGGTAGGCCGTCCTTGTGTTGACATGCTACCCCGCGTTGATCTGAAATGCAGATTTAACCGCATGTCTTGCAGTTTATGTGCTAAATATAGCCGCCGTATCGGGAGCCCACCGTTTCTGACCAGCCAGACCGCTTGTATTTGCAGCGTACACGGACCTGGTCACCAGGCGCACCCCTACCCCCATCCCCCGCCCGCCCCGGCCTCCCCAAATTAGAACTTCCTGCAAATCCTTATCAGAAAAGACTGTTTTTTGGTGACATCCTTCTCCAAGCCAGGGGCTATCTCCCCCGATCCTGATGGGAAAATCAGGCAGGGAACTTGCACTCTTCACTGGGCACACCCAGCTGAGCTCGGGGGCTTGGCGCAGAAAAGCCTCAGGGCAGGTTTGCTGAATGGACGGTGGTGAATACTGGGCTTCAGGTCCCTGCAGGTAGGCTTCCTCCCTATCCTTGGGGGACAGGCACACTCCAGACCTCCCTTCTGCCATTAAAGGAGGCAAGTCAAATCTGAAGCCTTCTAGAAAAAGGCAGTGTGTTGTTGGGGAGTGAGCCTGGAGTTTAGAATCAGGCAGAAATGGGCTTGAAACCCCAGTTCAGCCACTTATTTGCTGGTGAACTTGGTTAGCTCACTGAACCCTTGACTTCCTCAATTGGAAAGTGGGCATCATCACACCAAGTGAATCTGGTGGACGGGCCAATGCACATGCCTTCTCACTGTTATACAACCCCACTAAATGACAGCAAAGGAATAAAAGACTGCCAACCCACAAGTGCCAAGAGAAGAAGAAGGGAGGAGGCAGCTAGTGAAAGGTGTCAACAAACTTTGGAACGACAGGAAGATGAGTGACTCACTTTACAAAGCATCGTTAAGACCTTTGGGGGGGGGGCACCTGGGTGGCTCAGTCGTTAAGCGTCTGCATTCAGCTCAGGTCATGATCCTGGAGTCCAGGGATCGAGCCCCGCATCGGGCTCCCTGCTCCGTGGGAGGCCTGCTTCTCCCTCTTCCACTCCCCCTGCTTGTGTTCCCTCTCGCTGTGTCTCTGTCAAATAAATAAAATCTTAAGAAAAAAAAAAAGATCTTTGGGGGGAACCCTGATAAGAAGTTTCACTGACGGTGAAGTGAGGCAGGGGACTGAAAACGAGTGCCTGCAAGTCCGTGCATGGAACCCGGCGACCTGGGCCCTCCTCCCCTACCCTGACTTTTGTATCCAGTCCGCGCCCCCCTCCCTTGCTTCCATTCCAGAAACTGACCAGCTCCAGAGAAAAGCTTCACTGCCTGCCCCATTACAGAATGAAAAGCCATTCCTGCAGTGAAGCCCACTGCCTGGCAGAGCCATGTCCCCACAGAAAGAGCATCAGGTCTCACTCATACATGGGGACAGATGGGCAGCCAAGGATCTCCAGACTCAGGAGGAAAGCCTGCAGTGTGAAAGATGGACCAAACTAAGCAGACCCAGGGAGCAAAAGGAAGCTTTAGAAAGAACTGTATTTGGGGTGCCTGGCTGGCTCAGTCGGTGGAGCACATGACTCTTGATCTTGGGGTGGTGAATTCCAGCCCCGTGTTGGGTGGGGAGCCTACCTTAGGAAAAGGAAAAAAGAGCTGTATTTGATATTCCCAGAAAAGATGCTGCTTCTGTGAAATGAGAATAGGATGCCTTGAGTAATAACAAGCACAAAATAATCAGAACAAGAAAAAGCTCTTAGAAATCAAAAACATAAGTAAAAATTCAAGAGCAAATTGGGAAGATACAGTTGAAATCTCCCAGCAAGCAGAACACAGAAAATAAAGCAGCTGGAACTCTGAATCTAGAAGGTGCAGTATCTAATTAATAGGAATGTCAGAGAGAACAGAGAAAGTGGAGAGGTGCAAATTATCCAAGAACTAATAAGACAGTACGGGCTATCACTGAAGGACCTGAGTCTTCACACTGAAAGGAAGGGCCCAGCCATGGAAGAAAGGCCCTCAGCAAGTGACATCATCCTGGCGTACGGCAGGCAGGTTTAGGGAGGAGGGGGTGAGGAGGGAGAAGATCCTAGAAGAGGGATGAGAATAGGACTTTACTCCTAGAACACTGGAAGCCAGAGATTCCCTCAAATTTCTGAAGGAGTGGGATATCCATCCACAAACTCTACAACCAGAAAATCTTTCCATTAGGCATTAAGACACTGACATAAAAGGGACAAATTATTTAGGTCCCATGTCCCCATTCACATGAAACTACCAGATCGTTCGTGTCTCCAAAATGTTAGGGAGTACCAGTTGGAAGATGGCCTGGCATCCAGAAAATGGGTTCCAATCCAGACAAGAGCCAAAGCAGAGCGTGGGATGATGCCCATGTGGAGGCGCCAATGTGGATGTGCGGGAAAAGGGGGTGTGCAGGGGAGTAGGAGGCCACCATCTCCCACAGGGAGCCTCCAGAGCAGACATGGAACTGATCAGGGTGCCCTCGCATGCTTGAGAATCTGGAAGAGGTACTGCGAGGAACTCGACCTATCTCTCAGAACCTTTGGGGGAAAATAGCACAATAAGTATGTAAAAAAAGCAATCAGAGAGATAGGAAATGTAATCGTAGTACACTTAGCAGAGAACAATATTTACGCAGCCGTAACAACATAAACGCTGGCTAGTGAATTAACCAAAATTTGTGACAAAATTCTAGAAGGATGGAGGGGTTGTGAGAGGGCCAAAGCTTCATCTAAATTTGTAGGAAGCCTTCTGGTGCTGCCTAAAACAGATAAATCAGAAATTGTCGGTTTATAATCTAAGGGTCTATGGTTCTCAATTGGGGGTGGTTTTACCCCCAGAGACGTTTGTGGTGGTCACAGCAGAGAGGGAGCATTACTGACACTTACCAGGTCATTAGTTTCCCGTGGCCACTGTTAAAAAATGACCACAAACTTTGCGGCTTCAAACAACACAGATGTATTATTTTACAGTTAGGAAATTTGGAAGTTTGAAACAGGTCTCCCTGGGATAAAATTAAGGTGCAAGTGGGGTGCACGCCTTCAGGTGAGAGTCCATCTCCTCTCCAGCTTTAGAGGCCCCCTCTTTCATCTGCAAGGTGCACCCTGCCAGGCTCATCCTTGTCACCCCTCCTCCTCCAAAGCTGCCTCCCTCCACGCTTACCCCACGTGGTGGCGCTGGGCCCACCTGCATAATTCAGGACCATCTGCTTCCATTAAGGTCCGCTGATGAGAGTCCCTAATTTCATCTGCAACTTCGTTCCCCCCCCCCACCCGCCAGCTTACTGCATCAAGTAGGTGTGCACAGGTTCCAGGATATCTGGGGCACATCTTGGGCAGGGGCTGTTAACTCTGCCTGTACAGGTGAGTGACGGCCAGGGATGCTGCTGACCGTCCACCACAGCACAGGACCGCCCCCACATGTCGGTGCGGCTGAGGGTAGGGACCCTAATGAGGTCATAAGTTATGCTGGGGCCTTTTGGCTGGGGCGCGGGCAGGGCGGGGGGGGGGCTTCAAAGGGAGCTCCCCGGGAGCTGAACTCTGCTCTCTTGTTCTGGGCCGTGGGCATGCAGATGTATGCATACGTAAAAACAAATGCACTTGTGAAGACGAGATGTGCACGCTACTCAGGGTACGTTAGTTACGGCTTCGTAAAAACCCCACAGATTTTTGGAATAGTTAAGTTTATGGTTTTTAAGTAGGGGGTAAATACTAAAAGAAACAGCTGAAGGACCTGGAAGCTGTTGCCTCTGGAGAGCATGACTGGGATGTGAAAGGGTGGGTCAGGGAGTTTGAATTTCTTCCTTATGCTAGCATTATATTAATCATGTAAATTACCTCAACAGAAACAAATAATTTTTAAAAAACAAGACAAAACAGGGCGCCTGGGTGGCTCAGTTGGTTAAGCGACTGCCTTCGGCTCAGGTCATGATCCCAGAGTCCCGGGATCGAGTTCCACATCAGGCTCCCTGCTCAGCAAGGAGCCTGCTTCTCCCTCTGACCTTCCCCCCTCTCATGTACTCTCTCTCTCTCATTCTCGCTCTCTCAAATAAATAAATAAATCTTTAAAAAAAAAAAAAAGACAAAACAGATTTGCTCAGTCACTGCGTCCTTAGATGGAGTCCTTGTTGGGGCCAGGCTCTGAGTGGTCCTGGCCCACAGGCAGCCTGGTGCCGTTGGAGAAAGTTGGTGTGCAGGCAGCCCAAAGCCACTCCCCTGGTTTCTAGGAGGGTGTTGGGTGGATGAAGGGAGAGGTGAGTCACAGAAAGGAGAGTCAGCGCTCATGGGCCCGGCACCTCCTCCCCTCCTCCCAGAGTGGAGCTTTGGCTCCAGACCCCTGCGGCGGGGGGGAGGGGGGAGGCCCTTGTCACTGGACCCCTGGGCTCTGGGCTGGGCGGGGCTCAGAGCCCCTCCTCCTCTGTACCCCACATTGGGAGTTCCCAGGACTGTGATGTGCTTTGCTCCCCCAACCCGGCCCTGGGCTCCCTCCCCACGTGCCTTCTGCACAGTCATCCAGCAGGAGTCCTGCTCCATCTCACTGGGGCCTTCATCATCCCCTGCACTTCACAGCCATAAACAAGCAAGACGGGTATCATGCAGGATACTTTCTTTAACATTGTTTTGGAGACTCATCCGTGCTGGTATCTGTAGCTCTATTTCAGTGTTCTAATGGCTCCAGACCCGGTTACCGCCTGGCCGCAAGTGATCCTACTGGGCCATCTCCAGGGGGTGTCGGACTCTCCCTCGCTGAACTGGGTGGGGTGGGGGGCTCCAGGTAGGTTTCTCCCCCCCCCGCCCCCACCAAGTACTCTTAGCCCGGAGGATGTGCAGCGTCAGGGGACCCTGGTGGCCCGCGTCGTGCTGCGCTGCCCGCCCACTGCACACTCCAGGCGGCTCTCCAAGCCAAGGGCCCCCCTGGGGAGGCTGCTTTCCACACGGCTCCGGGGTCCCTGTGGTCCTCCAGGCCCCTCCAGGTACACCCAAAGCTCCCTCTCCATCCCCTACCCCACCAGTCCCTGCGCCAGTCACCCCTCCGTCAAAGCGTTTTTACTGACAGCTTAGGAGGCTGGGTACAGTAACAGCAGGGGATGGTAGCCCAACCATGTTTTGAGCAGCTACCATGTGCCAGGCGTAATGCCAAGACCCGTGCCTGGATTAATGCTCACATTAAGCTGAGGAGGGGCTCTTATCATCCCAGTTTGCAAGTGAAGAAACGGAGACAGGAGAGGTTGAGGTGCACATCCCCCCCATTCCCACCACCAAGCACAGGGCACTGGGCTCGGCTCACTTCTCCCCTGTTCCACAGGGCCTTTGTAGGGAGGGCTGCCATTGCTTCTAACTGCTCCCCCAGTGCTCCCTGCAACCAAGTTGGGCCCCTCCTGCCTTAGAGGTGCATCCTCTGTACTCCCAGCCCCTCTGTGGCCTCTCGATAGGGAGACTTGGGAGGAAGGACTTTGTTCCCTTCACTCCCAGAATCACGCCTTCCCTTTTGCTGCAGAGACAGGCAGAGGGTGAGGGGCAGTTTCCATGGAGAACTGCAGTTCAGGTCCCCAAACTGGTGCTGTCAGGCTGGGGGGTCTAGGTCGGACCCCACTTGCACCACTGCTTACCCAACAGGTGATCTGAACAAATCCATTTTCCTTGTGCCTTACTTCATTGATAAAGGAGGTCAATAATCGTCCACTTTAGGGCACCTGGCGGGCATGCGACTCTCGATCTTGGACTTCTGAGTTCAAGCCCCATGTTGGGTATAGAGATTAAGTTTTAAAAATTTTTTATCGGGGTGCCTGGGTGGCTCAGATGGTGAGGCGTCTGCCTTCTGTTCAGATCATGATCTGAGTCAGCTTCTCCCTCTGCCTCTCCCCTGCTTGTGCTGTTTCTCTGTCTTTCAAATGAATAAGTAAAATCTTATAAAAAAATAAAAAGATCAAAGTCCTAGAAAGGGCTTTCATTAAAATAAATTTTTTATTTTTTAATTTTTTTTTAAGTATTTATTTAGGGGCGCCTGGGTGGCTCAGTTGGTTAAGTGACTGCCTTCGGCTCAGGTCATGATCCCGGAGTCCTGGGATCGAG